TGGGAGTTGAAATCCACCCATCTTAAAGTTGCCGAGTTTGAGAAACATTGCTTTAGGCCTTTCGCCTCACACCTGAAAGAGCCAGAAAAATCATGGTTTTTAGCACAGTCAATTCAAAGCCCTACTGCTGAAACAGAAGCCGTGTTCCCATGCTATGCTTGCCCAAAATTTACTCAACTAAGCTAGTTCTCTGCTTTCACATCACACGCTGAGCCGCAGAGTACCCCTTCGCCCATGGTCCATAGCAGCTGCGACCCCTCAAAGCACCCACCAGCACGAAGTGACAGGGCAGATTCCTCTGCACAAACGCAGCAAACCTTCTGGCGTCACATTCCCGCCTTTCCCCGCCCTTTTCAGCTGTTTGTTACAAGATACTCGAGAGGAGGAGGAGGAATTGCGGTTCCTGCCCCAGAGGTTACATAAACACTCAGGAAACGCGGACACCCTAAGCGATGCCCGGTTCCAAGATGTCGCCTTTAACTGCACGGAGGAGTGGCTTCACTACCTTAAAGAGATAAAATAAAAAGGTGACGTTTGACACTTCCGGTCCTCTTAGGCGTCTCCATATGCGGGTGAGGGCGCTGGAAGCAAAAACAAACGAAATGAAGATTAAAGGCTCATTTTCTTTCTACGAAATAATTCCGGTTTTTTTCCCCACCTCCGTATTTCTCCCTGGATGAATCTGCTGTCTCCTTACCTGTGCGGATAGCACTCGGATTGGTGTCCCCCCCTCACCTTCTTTGCGTTTTCTTTCTTTCCAGCATTCTTGCCCCGCACATGGGCGATGCTACAACCGGCCATTCGGAACCAGAAGTTAAGTGGGAGAACCATTAAACCGTGACCCCACCTTCAATTGTTGGGGATTGATGGTTCTTCTTACCTGCAGAAAGAGAAAGTTGAGCGACGTCTCTGCTGCCTTCGCTGATTGGCCAGGGTGGAGGCGAGGGAGACACGCTCGCTCCGTCTCCTGCTCTTGGCGATTCTCACGCGCAGGAGGGGCGAAAGCTGGTTAAGGCGTTCCAGGTAGGGGAAAGCTGAGACCGCAGATCAAGTCGGGGGGCGGGATGGATAAAGACTCATCGCGGTGCAGAATCGGAGGAATGCCTGCAGCGGTCACCTGGAAAGACCATTGTTGAAGGCCTTCCGTTTCTGTGTCTCCAGATTGGCGCATCAGTGCTATTTTGGCAATGCACTCTCGTGGTATGTGGGGCACGCGGTGTGTCTATATCCTGTTTTTCTTGCCCAAGTCGTTCAGGGTATAGTTTTTAAAGCCATTTTTTAAGCTGAAAGGCTTTTATAAGTACTGTAGTACTTTTAGGCAGCCTTCCCCAAGCGGAAGGTCTCTAGCTATTTTGGACTGCAACGCTCAGAATTCCCGGCCAGCACGATCGGGTCTTTTGAAGAGCTAAACACATCTGGAGGACAGTAACATGGATATGAGGAAAAACCTCAAAACTGTAAGTTACTTGCACAGCAGAACCAAATTCTTGAGGGAGGTGATGAATTCCTCTTCTTGGAAATGCTCAGGTGTGTTAATGGAGCCATCTGCTGGGGATGCTCCAAATTTCTGCATGGAACAGAAGCTGGAATTGATGGCTTAAAGCAGTGTTTCCCAACCTTGTCAACTTTAAGATGTGTAGACTTCAACTCCCAGAATTCCTCAGCCAGCCATACTGGCTGGGGAATTCTGGGAAATGAAGTTCACACATCTTAAAGTTGACAAGGTTGAGAAACACTGGCTTAAAGAGTCCCTTCTAGTTCTATGGAAACAATATTATTGAGTACTCTGAACTTTCCTAAAATTTCAATTCAAAGCATTCAACAGCTTGCCACAATTCATAAATATATATTTTATAAATAGCCAACATTTCATTTTGTCACAGTCTATGATGCCTACATTACAGCACACATTTGCCCTGCAACTCTCTGGTGCTATCTCTAGAGATGATATATCAGAATCAAAGTAGATGCATATCGATTTAATGTTGCATATCGATCCTGTAAGTTGCACTGTGAGGGCAACACCAGCATTCTTTGCAGTTTTTTCAGTCCTTAATTCTGCCACACATATGCTTGATCTTTGTCTTCCCTGTCTTGTGCAAGCTACCTGTAAGGGGATGAAAAACTGGGTTCAGGCAGTCATAAATTTCTGTTGAGGGAGGAGGTGGTATGGTGCTATCAGAACTGAAAGATGCCCTGCCTAAGAAGATGGATCGCAAACCATGTGTTTTGGACAACAATTGACTAGTTTCCAACCTTTTTTTTTTAGAAAAGGTTGTTGAGAAGGTGGTTGGGCAACAATTACAGGGGGCCCTGGATCAAGTAGATTATCTGGGACTCCTTCCATTCTGAATTCAGGCATGGGCATAAATGACTCTTGTGGGTGACCTGTGGTGGCATTAGATGGAGGGAATGTGCCCCTCCTTGTCTAGCTTGATCTCATGGTGGCATTCAATACCATTGACTGCAATCTCCTTTTAGATTGCTTGTGAAAGTTGGGAGCCAGAGGCACTGTTTCATAATGGTTCCACTCCTTCCTGAGTGGGTGGTGACAATCAGTGAGGGATGCCCCAGGGCTCAACCCTCTCCCTCACTTTGTCTAACATAAATGAAATCCCTGGAAGAGGCCATCCACCAATTTTGGGTGACATATCTTTGATGATACCCTGCTTGATATCAACCCAGGCTGAACAGGAGATGTGGTGGAAATCTTGACCAATGCTTGAAAACTGAGGGACAGAACAAGGCTAGGATGAATCCCCGCAAGATGGAGGTACTGAATCAGAGCAGAGACACAGGTTGGGATCCCCATAAACAAATATTTTTAATCAATAAATCCCCAAATCAGCAGTTCATTTTTATCAATTTTCAGCAAAAAGTTTATAAAGGATTTCCAGCTTTTTATAAAAGTAGTTGCAGTTTCCTCCTTAATCAAACAAGTCAATTTAGCCATTTCTGCAAACTCAGCCATCTTCACAATCCATGGATTTCCAGCTTTTTATAAAAGTAGTTGCAGTTTCCTCCTTAATCAAACAAGTCAATTTAGCCATTTCTGCAAACTCAGCCATCTTCACAATCCATTCCTCCATTATTGGTGTTTCTGTAGTCTTCTGTCTTTGTGCATATAATAGCTTTGCTGCAGTTACCATATATAGAACTAATTGTCCATGAGGCTTTTCTAGTTGATTGTCCATAAGTCCTAATAACAAAAGTTCTGGTTTCATCTGAACATTAATTTTTAAAATTCTCTACATCACCTTATGTATTTGTATCCAGTATCTTTTTGCTTTTTCATGCCCATTAGTGTTTTAGGCACAATCTGGCCTATGGGCCAGCTTTATTAATCACAGATACATGATAGAAATTCCATGCTGCACCTTTTCCTCTAGAAATTTAACACAACAAATATATAATAGCTTATTATGCAGTTAGTCCTGCTCTAAAATGAAAATATTCCAGTGGAGTCATAAATGTTTAAGGATTTATTTTCAGTTTGTAATATTCTCTGAACTGCCCGAGTGCTTAAAGTTGAATCTTTCTCTGTAGAAAATTCCCTGAGCATCTTGATCATAAACCCCTGCAAATATAAGAGTCAGCAAAGTTTTTTATGCACTACAGTGGAGAAATTGACCCCAAGAATTTTAGATAAGTAGAGTTCTGAGAACTTAAACTTCTGCTTTTTACTCTCCTTATGGTCTCAAAGTAAAAGAAAAGGATATATGTCAATATGATGTTATATACCTGGTAATTCACCTATCATTTTCTTTCTTTTTTTTTTTTCTTTTCAGGATTGCTTCATCATGATCATGACTGAAAGTGTTGATTCTCTGGTTGCTATTTCCAGCCAGGACCTTTGGGCCGAAATCTGTTCATCTCTGCCACATCCAGACCAGAATGAAGAGTCCAGTAATGCATTTTCAGATTCCTTTGCAGATTCTTATGTTCATGTGATGGGGAATCAGGTGGAAGTAACAGACCCCTCTTTGCAAGTGAATGAGAAGCCCTGGATGCCACTGAAAGATTCAGAGCTCTACTTGGCATCTTTAGGTCAGTACGTGGGAACTTCCTGATCTAGGGATATTCCCAGGAGTTGATGCTTTCTTCAACCTGGGTGTGTTAGACTTCAAATCCTATAATCCCAGTGACAGATAATTATATTATTGGGAGGATCATATAGGACAAAGAACAGTGAGTCTACCCATATGTCAACAGTCTTTTTTGATATTTGTGTATAATAAAAAGCCACTTATTTTAAAGCAGTGTTTTTCAAATTTGACAACTTTAAGATGTGTGGACTTCAATGCCCAGAATTCCCCAGCCACCATGTTGGATGGGGAATTCTGGGAGTTAAAGTTCACATGTCTTAAAGTTGCCACGTTTGAAAAGCACTGCTTTAAAGGATTATGGTCAATGTCAATAAGCCTGATTCAGATGTACTTTATAAACACATCTGTGAGGTTCATCAGTTGCATGAATGATTACTCGTTTTCTGGATATGGTCTGATATTCTGAGACATCAAAAAGATTCCCATTTTATTTTTGAGAAGTTTGTGATGATAAGATATCATATTTCCTACCTGAAATTTTACAGAGCATGTGAGAAAAAAAATCTTTCAGGGCCCATTTTTATCTAATTTGTTCCTTGATGAAACCCTGCAAAGAATGTAACATCATTCTTTTCAGTAACTTACCATGTTGAAAGATGGAAATCTAACTCATCTATTAGCCAGCTGGGAAGAAGAAGAATGGGCACTTCTCTTAATGCAGATGAACTTCCAGAAGAATATAAAGATTTCCATTTCCTACTTGCCTGCTCTGCATGTAATCATCTGTCAGTTTTCTCATTTCAAATATTTTTAGGGATAATGGTGAGCCATAGTCTCTCAAGGAATGTAAATCCTTTCTGCTTCTTATTTAAATATAAATGCCACTTTGATGCCCAGGTTTGTCAAAGCATATTCTAATTTGGATTTTGGGCAGTGAAAGAAAAAAAAAAAGATGGCTATCTGAGTGGCTACATGCTGATTTTTTTTTATCCAATCCCCAACAAAATAAAACTCTGACATGAAGCTGTGACATTAACAAGGTCTGTCAGGATACACACAGTGTTAAAATGGTGATTACAATTTATACAAAACCTCAAGAGCTGGACTGAACATTTCTGGGTTTAACTTGGCCACTGGTTTTCATTTCCCTGCAGGATGCATTTTTCCTTTATTAGTTTGTTTCTTTCCTCAGAGAGAAGATTAATGAGAATAAAGGGTTTGTCTCAGGAAGTGACATCCAAAGATATGCTGCAGACACTTTCTCAGGCTAAGAAAGAAAGTTGGGACAGGTTTCTGCAGGAGAAGTCTGAATCTGACTTTTATATGGAGGGAACCGATTCTGATGAGAGGTAATACTGTATAATGAAGATTTTATGCATACAGCCCTTTGAAATATTTGTCTTATAGAAATGCCAAGTATTATGGGAGAAAGGATGTCCTGGGGCTTAATTTATACCTGATCCGCCTAAAGATGTTTTTAGTACTAAAGGTCAGCTCAAAATATGCTTAGAAGGAGCTCCCAGTTGAATTCAAAGAAAACTCCTGGCTTACTGGATTATCCCAATGCATTTATGTTCTCATCTCCACATGTGTAAGATTAGGGACTAACGTTTGTAGCTAGTCTGGTGAAATGATGGCATACGTTTTGGATACCTTGTAAGTTAGCTGCCACTGAGTCAGGCTTGACTCCTGGTGATTATATGGACAAATGTTCACCATCTCAACATGTCTCTGTATAACCGATAGCTCTTCCAAGGACGTTCCTGTAATTTCTTTGCTCCTCTTTATCCACCTTATCTGCTGTCTTCCCCTTCTGTTTTCCTTCAAACTTGCAAAGCTGGTTCATTGCCTGCTTGCAACACAGGCCCAAAAGATTAAAATTTCTGCTTGCTGTTCATTAATTCACAGTGACTAGCAAGTGATTGATTGGTCTTTCTTGCAGTCCAACATCTTAATTATTGACCACAAATCTGTAATTCAGGGATATCTGTCTTCTTTCTTTCATTCTTTCTCAATGTTCAATTACTGGAAAACTTTTGAAAAAATTGTTGCTTTAACTGTTCTGACATCTATTTTCAAAATATCCTTACCCTTCATAAACTTGGTAAGTGTTTTTGCCTTTCCCTGTAGGGTTATTCTCCTCCTTTTACTTTAGTCCTATACGTGAAGTGGAGATTCCAGCTTGTCAGCAGACACAGTACCTGCTATTCTGGACTCCTCCTAAATTCTTTCTTTTTAAAGATAAAAACATGTTTATA